TCAGATTTCTCCGGACAAGTGCTGTTTTTCTGCTGTAGCAGATTTCTGCTGTTTTCCTGCTGTGGACAGCCATTTGGCTGCTGTTTGTTCGCCGATTTTGGTTAGGCTACTTGCGAACTCAAGTATTTCATATCACTCTTACAAAATCTTATCTCTGTAAATAAATTAACTACTGACAATCCTTGTTTTATTCTCTTTGATGCAAATGGATTTGTCATTAAGGACAAACATAACCACCAGACTCTCCTTCACGATCCCTGTCAACAATGTCTCTATCCCATTACGCTCCCTCCAGCTGATTCCTCGGTTTCTTCCATTGCTTTGTTTTCAGCCATGTCTTCTGCTGCATCTCGTCCAGCTACCTGGCATCAACGTCTTGGACATGCTTCCCGATCCACTTTGCAACTTCTTCCAGCCAGCATTTTATCTAGGAATTTAGCTTCTAGCTTTCATTGCTCTGCCTGTGTGCGAGCGAAAGCACATAGGTTACCTTTTACATCGTCTACTCCTAAAACTACACACTGTTTACAGTTAGTTCACTCGGATGTATGGGGTCCTTCCCCTATCCTTTCTCTTCAAGGTTATAGATATTATCTTTTATTTATTGATGATTACACTCATTTTTGTTGGGTTTATCACTGCGTGCAAAATCTGAATCATTCTCTATCTTTCTTACATTTCAATCACTAGTGGAAAAACAATTTAATCAATGCATTAACATGTTAAGAACGGATGGTGGGGGTGAGTATGTTAATCAATCCTTTACATCTCATCTCAACAAATGTGGCATCGTACACCAAGTTACATGTCCCTATACGCCGCAGCAAAACGGCGTTGCAGAAAGAAAACATAGGCATCTTCTTGAGACTGTCAGAGGTATTTTATTTCATGCAAACTTACCAAATCATTTTTGGCCTGAAGCTTTGGCAACTGCGGCTTTTACTATTAATCGCATACCTTCCAAATTACTTCATAACATTTCTCCTTATGAACGCCTGTATCAATCTCCACCAGATTATTCTATGTTCAAAGTATTTGGCTGCCTATGTTATCCATGGCAACCTACACAACTTCAGAATAAATTTCAGCTAAGAGCTCATCCATGTATTTTTCTTAGGTATGCTGACGCCACTAAAGGATACAAATGTTTTAATTCTCTTACAGGTCGCATTCATTTGTCTAGACATGTTACATTTTTTGAAGCTATTTATCCTTTTAATTTGTTGGGGCAACCATCTTTTCCCCAACCAACTCAGTCTCTGCCACCTTCACTACTCGTACCAACTTCCGCATCCTATCCATCAGCTCCTCAGATACTTCAGCCTCCACCAATAACATCTGCTATGGACCCAGGTCTCAATATTCCTGCCTCTCCAACATTGCATTCCTCATCTTCTGATCCAATCATAACTCACCAAGCTCCTCCTCCTCGGTCTCACCCGATGGTTACTCGATCTCGTCTTGGCACACTTAAACCGAAATGGATTTTTGATCTGCATCATGCTGTTATTCTGGTTCAGCCGACCTGCTTTCTCAGGCTGTCAAGTATCCTGAATGGCGCCAAGCCATGTCATCTGAGTTTGAGGCACTTCAGAATCAAGGAACCTGGGCTTTAGTTCCTTCAAATCCACAATTTAATGTTCTTGGCAGTAAATGGATTTATAGAACTAAATTTTACTCAGATGGCTCTGTTGCTCGTTATAAAGCCCGATTGGTTGCTCGCGGCTTTGATCAGGAACATGGAATATATTACTTCGATACATTTAGTCCTATTGCCAAATTTCCAACAATTCGCATCCTGTTTACTATGGTTGTTACTAGACATTGGCCTATATTATAGCTTGATGTCTCCAATGCCTTCTTACATGGCAAACTTGAGGAAATTGTTTACATGATGCAGCCTCCAGGATTTACATGATGCAGCCTCCAGGATTTACAGATCCTCAACACCCCAATCATGTGTGTCTCCTTAAAAAGGCCCTTTATAATTTAAAACAAGCGCCGCGGCAATGGTTTGCTACATTTACCTCATTTCTCATTGATTTTGGCTTCTCGGTCAGCTTGGCTGATCCCTCTCTTCTCCGGCTACATAAGGATGATATTCAAATCTACATTCTTATTTATGTAGATGATATCCTCCTCACGGGCAATCATACTTCAGCTATAAATAATCTTTTGAATGCTTTACATTCCCGATTTCAACTTCGAAATCTTGGGTCGATTTCAAATTTTCTGGGTATACAAGTTCAACAACTTCAGGATGGCTTTCATCTGTCTCAACATGTGTATGCTGCTCAGCTTCTTGATAAATCAGGCATGAAGGACTCTAAGCTGGTTTTAACCCCTCTACCAACTAAACTTCCTCTGCTTAATGATTCTGCCGAGCTCTTTTCTAAACCAGAATTATATTGGCAATTAGTTGGTTCTTTGTAATATCTAACCATTACTCGTCCTAATCTCTCGTTTGCTGTTAACTTTCTGTGTCAGCATATGCATCAACCATATTTACTGCATTAGCAGTTACTTAAATGAGTATTGCGATACTTATGTGGCACGATGCATTTTGGTCTTCCGATTCTGCATTCTTCCATGGATCTTCATGCTTACTCTGATGTAGACTGGGTTGCTGATCACACCAACCGGCGATCCGTTACAGGCTATTGTGCCTTTCTCGGTTGCAATCTTATTTCCTGGTGTGTTAAGAAACAAATGACGGTTGCCCGCTCTTCTACTGAGGTGGAATATAGGGCCCTCGCCACTGCAGCTACTGATATAGTTTGGTTACACCATCTTCTTCTTGATTTTGCTATACCGGACTCGGCTCCCACTTCCTTATTCTGTGATAATGTTTCAGCACTTGCTTTAGCTAATAATCCCATTTTTCATGCCCGTACTAAGCATATTGAAGTGGACTTTCATTTTATTCTGGATTGCATCAAGCAACACAATATCACTGTTCATCATCTCTCCTCAATTGATCAACCAACTGATCTCTTTATTAAACCGTTATCTGCTACCCGGTTTCAACTCTTGTGCAGCAAGTTAACAATTCAGGAGAACATTGTTAACTTGAGGGGAGGTGATAAATGATTTGTGTAAATTTATAAGCCCAAGAGCTCATATGATCAGTCGGCTTCCTTCTCCACCATTTGGCTCAGCTACAGCAGACTTTGCAGGAGGAATTGATCTCCTCCGTTTGTGCTCTGCACCGGATTTAATCTCAGCCGTTTGGGCTTAACCGTTTTGTCAGCAGCTTTCTATATTATGAAATACTGTAGTTGTATTCTTAAATTAATGAAATATGAGAAATACATTCTGCTGCTACTCTTTTTTTCTTCTTCCTCTAAGCTTTGTGCAGGTTTTGGATCAAGCACTCGGTATCAAATAGTCTTCAGTCCCTGCTAGGTTGGGCTAGACCTGATTTATCCAAATCTACTTGTTCACTATGTTAGTAAGTCGCAGAGCTGATTCCAAACTGATTTGGCCAAGGGTATTATAGCATGCAAGAATGTAACAATACGATTGCAACCTTAAATGAACCCAATTTAACACGATTTAAAATAATTATTGATTGGTTTTTTTTTCTTAAGCTTATTATACAAGGATTTGATGAACACGGGCTCTCAATTATAAGAAATTCTCACTTCGATCTGAAGAACAGCAGCATCTACCACGTTTTGTTATCAACATAATACTTCTAAAGTATTAAGATCAGCACAAGGCTCTAGGTTTGTTAGCTTGGATCCAAAAGGGTAGTGTTAAAATCCAAGATGTACCTTGACACTTGATCCCACGGTCAGGATGGGAATCCATCGGAGGTTCACCTGGATAATGCCGATCTCCTTTCATATTTGGGTGGCTGATTTATGAAGGATTATATTAGGGAAATTATGCATGATTTTGTTATTATTTGTTTCTTTATTAAGATATCCTGTGTAGATCTATAAATATGAATAATTTAGTATAATAAAATTAAAATCCTTTTCTCTCTCCAATTCTTTGAATTTAACAGGTAGTGCACATGAAAAAAAAGCTCTTATACAATAATCTTTCGAATTTGTAGGCAGCTTTCTTACAGAAAAGAATGTAGGTAGAAAACAATAATTTGTTGGCCGCTTTTCTTAGCAAAAAAGTTGAAAGAAAACAACAACCAAACGAAGTCGGAATATTGTAAAAAAAAAAATCCTGCGTTCCACTCAACAACAAACATTAGACATACATAAAACTGTTCTAATCAAAGTGGTTTGATTTGAACCTGTACTAGAAAACGTTAGGCTTCGTTGGATTTCTATTTTGGCGTATGCTTTTGTAGTAGAAAAAAGCTAACTTTAAAAAGCAAAAGATATTTGGATGAAAAAAATAAGGGGGATTTACATACATATCACTTTATTTCATGCTATTTATAAATCTAACACCCAAAAATTTAATATTACATTCTTACCACTCATATAAACTTTTAATATCAAATATATCACTCATATATTTCATTCTTATCACCCATACCACCCTATAAACTTTAATATTTCATTCCATGCACCCATATTTGTCCTATGGGCAAATATGCCAAGTTGATCGGCAATTCACATAAATTAAGTAAAAATTATATCAAATATAAAGATGGATAGGGTTGGGGGTACCTCTTGATGACTTAATCTATTCATGCTGTTGGTCTTCGTTATTACAGGTAGAATCAAATCATGAATGAGCATTAGGCAATCTAATGTAGGGGTTGCCACATCCATCACATAGGAGAGATATCTGACAATTGTTGGAAAATAAGATTATTAGAAGTTATTGGAATAGTAAAATGTTGTTGAATTGATTATTAACTTAGTGAAATATTCCGTAACTTGCTAAAATATGCTATATCACGTTAAAAAAAAATGCACAACGTCCTATTACGATAAGGCAAGTGATCAAAATCATAGCAAATACTGCAAGGAATGTCATCTAATTACCTTAATTTTGTGTAGGCATCTGAAACACCAAAATAAGCTGCAAATTCTGCCAGCAACCATTTCCAAATTCCATGCAGCATCAAATTTCTCTGCTGAAAATGTTGAGCTTTCATTGCAACTTCCATTACAACATCATATGCTACCGTCTCAGCAATTGATCCACACTGCATGTGGAATGTTAGTTCCCTTTATCACAAGGATCAAAATAAAAATAAAATAAAATAAAGATGTTATTTGACATGATAAATAATAAGTTGTTAATACAAAGAGCCTAGAAAAGATGATTGAGGGGTGGTTGTCGGGGGAATGAAATATGATTTCCGCCCAACTATTTAAAGAAATTATACAAAAAAAAAAAAAATGTTAACTCCATGTTGGAAGCAACATAAAATATTCTTTAATAACCCCCCCCTAATAACCTCCAATAAGTTGAAGCATCCAATTCATGGTATGCTAAAGGAAATTACAAATTGGTGAAATTCATTATATTTTTGATAAAAAAAATATTGAATCTTCAGCCTAGTGAAATAATTTATAGAAATCGAGAAAGAGTAAACCACCTTTAGAGTTATAAACTAGAAACCATAAGCAAACATTCATATGGTAGCAAGGAGGCATTTTGGGACACAAGAAAAAAATGTTCTATTATAGACAAGATGTCAATATCAACCCAGAAGTTTTGGTACCTTTTCATTATTCTCATCTGAATTTGATGTGTAGCTCAAGTGTACTTGCATTCGACCCACAAGTACATGTTCAGGTTCAAGATAAATAGGCCACCAGCAACTCTTTTCGCTCTACAAAAAAGAAAAAAGAAAAATCATGTCCTTCGATGATTTCTTACCATCTTAACACAAGCAAAGGATATGGGGACCCTTACAATATCAGAAATACTAGCCACTTGAACTACAACTCTTCCGCATGACTTCCCCTTCGAGTCATACACTTCAACATATAAATCATCTCCAATATTATCAGGGAAGCTGTCAACCCAAATAAATAACACAAAATTAAATGGTCCAAAGGAATGTAAGACTAGAACAGAAAATCATGCCAAGGAAGATATCATAAACATTATCAGTTGAAAATAGCATACAATGTATGTGCTTCCCCTGATCCAGGATCCATTCGGACCGCTTCCTCGTAAGTTGTACTTTTTAACTTCAAACGGCAAGTGTATGTCTCTAAATAGAAAATATATAATCAATCAGTTAGGGCTGCCATGGCTGTGCTAAGGGCATCTCCAATTAAAAATCCCATTTTTCACTTCAAAATACAGTGAAATTAAAAAATGTCGTGATTCATCTCCAATTGAACTCCATTTTCTACCCTTCTGCTAAGGCCTTCTCCAGCTGAACGCCAATATTGGGGTTTCATTGTTCACCCGCAACCAAATAACAGAAGTTTTGCCGTTCAGCTGGAGCTCGTGAGCGATGCCATTCATGCCTTCGGAGTTCGGTTGGAGAAGACCTTAGTACAGGTGAACGGTTATTACCTTGGCTCATTTCATATGATGAACGGCTTTGCGTGCGGGTAACACCAACTTTAAAGAGATCTGAAGCTTTCTTTGCATGCTGAGTACTGGCATTTATGCAAGCTAGACTGTTTCTTGAGAGGAAGCTATTAGCATGTAGACATAGTAAAAACCGCACATTACGAAACGATTTCCATTCTGCAGCAAGAAAGGTATGCAGACTGGATATACAACATCGAAGAGATTGTATGTTCACCATAGGTAAATTTAGAGCTGAAATACTGCATCTTGATGGCATGTCTGGAGACATTCTGACTTTATGGACTGCAGGAGAAGAATTAATATTTTTACATAGGATTTAGCAGGAGCACAAATAAAATAAAATTTTAAAAGGAAAGAAAATGCGAAATTGTTTTTTCTTTTATGAGAAAG